TCGCATTGACACGCCTAAACTTGTGATTTTTGATTCTCGACCTTGACGCTTCGCAACGCATTACGCATTTTAGAACACTGATATATATAATGTTTAGATCGACTATCATTGTCACTTGTTTATAAAATTTGATAACAATATAATTTTATAGATGTCACGATTCAATATAAGACCATCTTCAATAATTTACACCAAATATCATATAAATCATTAGAGACGTCCTTACACTAAATTTCATTTTAAATTATTTAATTTAAAATTATAGTATTACTAAGATCGATAAATTAAAAATTATATTTAATGACCTAAAATATCACGTTTATTAATAAATTCTAAAATAAATTAAATAGAATACAACAATTAAAAAATTACATTGAACACACTAAAGAAGTTACATACAAATGAAGGAATTTGTATGTCCGATAATACAATAAAACGAAAGATGCTGAACAAGGCAAAATTTTCAGCTTATCGCTTCCAGTAGAATTCACTAATTATATAATTTTCTGATTTTCAAGCTTCTCAAACACCATACACCACAAGTTTTCTCCTCTTCTCTCTATCGGTTCTTCCACTGAAAATTCTTGATATCGCTTCTTGTAATTGCATTTCAGGCCCAGAAACGGTAAGTGAGGTAGCTGAACTAAGATGGATTACTTTTAGTACAAATTTTGTTGGGAATTCTTCGAACCGATTTCTAAAATCCTAAAAATTAGAAGTGGGTTTTTGTTTTCTTAGTATCGTTTTCAATTTTTAATGATTATTGAAGTAGTTTACTGAATGCTGGGTTTATATGTTCTCGTTGAACTGCGGGGTTGACTTTTTCTTGTTTTCTATTTTCTGATACGATCAATTCGAGTGGAAACCAATTGAAAGAAATTGATTTTGTTTACGTGTTTATTTCGACTTGATTTGTGGTTTTTTCTGCAACTGAAACAGGGTATTTTGTTGAAAGAATTCTTAGTATGTAATTTTATTTATATTTCCTGAATTAATTAACATAGATATCGTTTCATTTTTGTGGTTTATGAATTTGAAGGTCGGGACTCGAGTTGAAAATGGCAACTGGAGCTGTTCCAGCTTCATTTACAGGCCTAAAGAACAGGGATCATCATGGCCTGGGGTTCGCTAAATGTCCCGAGTTTGTTAAAGTATCTAACTTGCAGAATCAGAGAGTTAAATTTCACCGAACCAA